GTGGTGAGGACATGTCAGTGAAAGAGGGAGGCACTTTGGGTAGCTACATCAGTTTTTCTTGCTTTGGGGAACACATCCTTCACTGATGGTTTACCAACACACACTGTCTGTGCCACTGTATTCCCAATACTCTTTTGTTATCTGGTCTACCTTTCGTTGGCTACGTATACATCAAGCCAACAATGCTGCTAAGTGTACGTACACCTTTAGATGCTGTTTACAATTGTGTAGGTGATGTTACAATACCTGGAGGTGTGACATATGATTTTAACACACAAACCCTCACCTGTATCTCCACTGGTGGACCTGCTACCACTGTCACTTGGACCAGAGACTCCACCACTGTCACCCAAGGAACCCAGACTGTGTTTAATGACCCAGTGACTGCACAGTACACCCACACTCTGACTGTGACTGGGGGACTTCAGGAGTATACACTTGTACTGTGACTAACAACAAACCCTCTAATGCTTCTGCTAGGATAACTCTTCCAGGTATGACCCAGTAGCTAGTGTAGTTTTACAAACAGTGTGAATGATTATGTGGTCCCCCACCTCCAACTGGTGTGACAACAGTCCAGAATGGTCCCAATAGTATTTAAAGCCTAGGACATGCGGTTTTTAGTGGCAGAATTTCCAAAAAAACTTTCTACTTGACTAATGTCATTAAAGTGTGTTTCTTACCTGCAGAAGTTGTTACTGCAGTGTGTTCATACCTACAGATAAACCGGAAGAAGTCAGGTTCCTCCCAGTGAATGCCACAGCAGTCAGGATCTCCTGGGCTGGCAGTGTTCACCTCTCCACCTCCATCATCTACACTGTCTATTGCTCCACTATAATTATGAGACAGTATGAGAGGGTTTACTCACACGGAGCGACTTTTGCTGACATTGTTCTGGAAGATGACATCACTCTTACTGATATTTACGTTCACAACTTCACTCTTCATTACATAATTCCAGATGATGTCATCCCAAACCAGACTGTAGCAATCTTTACTTTCGGTAAAGGAGTTGTTAGTCTTTGGTTTCAGATTTAGTGGTTTTTCTCAACAGATAAGGGTGTCTTTCAGATTCAGTTTGGGCCATTTTACTACTGCCTCGACTCAGTAGTAAGTTAATTTTGTAAAACAAGGTTGTTCACTTCTTTGCTCCATTTCTTAGTTCAAGAAGATTGCTCGTGCCATTGAAGAACAGCTACAGTTGTACTTGATTGTCATCATACGTAAAAGCTGCCCCGAGTGTTACAGTTTAACACGTACATTTCTGAGGCCAGGATTGTTTCTTTGCCATGGCAACCCCACCAAGACCACCTACCGCACCACTCTAGTTAACCCTTTCCCCACCACAAACTCCACCCACATGGTGGGCATTATTCAGAGTTGGGTGTCCACGGGTCCCTCTCTCGTCCTCGACGGTCTGCTGGTGAGGGTGAGTCCCTCCTGCCCCACCTCTATCTCCAGTCTCGATGAAGAAGAGTGTGAGACTGGAACCAGGCATGACCCAGGGACTGGGAGAGAGGATCACTCAGACACTCAATGTCTGTGCTCTGAGGAACCTCGGAGAGGATGTCTGTCGTCTTGGAGGCTGTTGAAACTATACTCTTAGAGTGTGTCGTGTATATTCTGCGAACTTTAGATGTAGTTAGGTTCATAACTGTAGTGAAAGTACTAGCTATATATATACTAGTGTTTTGTTGCATAGTTATTCCATGTTCTTATGCTGCTGTAGTGTTAATAGTAGGCAAGCAGTTTGTACTGTAATACAAGTGGAAAAATCATTTCTTCAAAATGAAAGGGGGATATAGGGATGGCTTGAAGCACCGAAAAGGAAGAAACAAGGGGTCATTACACAGCAAAGTTGCACAAAGCTACATGACACCATCCCTATATCTTTGTTTGATATTGTTTGATATTAAACTCTGCTTATAAACAATAAAACAAAGATATAGGGATGGTGTCATGTAGCTTTGTGCAACTTTGCTGTGTAATGACCCCTTGTTTCTTCCTTTTTGGTGCTTCAAGCCATCCCTATATCCCCCTTTCATTTTGAAGAAATGATTTTTCCACTTGTTTCCACTATTTTTAACAGCTTCTGGCAACACTGCATTTATTACCCTCGGCGCGCATGCGCAGCGAGGGTACTGTAGTTGGGTTTGTCTGTCTATCTGTTACTCTCAATCTCACTTCTCGAATGTCTGTTCGTCTCACAAACGATACGACCTACTTAACGGGCAATGAAGGTCAGAAATTTCGAACGGTTTTCTCTGAAAATGCTTCGTTGCAAAGCTAGAGCGCTTCCGCCATTGTACGGCTAATGCTAGTCGGCCATTTTTATCGCTGCGGAAAATGCGCATGCGCTTATATTTTGAACAGGCTCGGGTCCGCTTGCTCTGTGTATCTTGAAGGTACGAGAAGTCACAACGAAGGGCGTGTATCGACTCCCACATGCAATCTACTACTGTAGCTAGCCCGTGTCAGACGCTGCTAGCGGGAGACCACGAGTATACTACATACTAATAGCAGCCCAGCCCATCAATTAGCGGTACCGCCCATGCCCAGTTCGCCGAGGGTTTGCACTTTAGTGCTTTTCATTGTTACAGTCACTCTGATGTTCATGGCTATGTTGTAGATAGGCTACCATAGACAAATTGAAAGTAGTAGCTAATGGGGCTGCTAGATACCATGTATTGTCTTCAACAAGGATGTAATTAGATTATTGCACATGGTTGTGGTTTCATTGGCAGGCTTTGGTAATCAGGCTACAACCTGGGGGGGGGACAAACAATGAAGGCCCATTTGACTGAGTGCCCCGCAAGGCTCGCGTAACACCGCGCAGACTCTGGCAAGTTCCTCTTCGTGCATATCAACAGCAAGATAGCCAGTTGGAAATGTGCACACTTACTTACTGGAGGCTGTGAGAGTTCCTATGCAGGTCTGCCAACTCGCCCGGTAGAATACGCTCGCAAGCACATTGGACAACGCCCCTGCCTGGCGCATGCGCGCGGATCACTGATGCTGAGTAAGCAGCAAATGGCGTTGTTCAGGTCGACCAGGGAAGAGCTCCATGATCTACCGTAGTGACTAGCGGCAAGAAAGAAACGATCGCTTGATGTCCGTGCACACCTCCGGCGAAATTGGAGACCTTCAGTGAAAAAATCAGTGCTTGAACTGGTACTGGTAAGGAGATAGCGGGTTTAAAGAAGAAGAAGAAGAAGAAGATGAAGAATATGATGACACGAAAATCGTGAAATCGCGTATGAGCGAATTCTCGCGTGGACGACTGAAGGTGCGTATGAGCTCTTGGGGGACATGTATAGGTAGATATGGGCCCGTAGACTATTGCTAGTATGTTTTGAAGGCCTAGGAAGTGATTCTCACCGAGTTTTTAGTCGTTTTGTACGCGGATCACGTGAGATTTCACCCGCGTCATCCCTATATAGAGAGTCTACCGACTCTCTAATTATATAGGGATGACGCGAGTGAAATCTCACGTGATCCGCGTGCAAAACGCATCAAAACTCAGCGACAATGACTCACCATAGCTTCAAAATCACTAGCAATAGTCTAGAGGCCAATACCTAGCTATACATATGCCCCAAGACTTCATACGTGCCCTCAGTTCCCCACGAGAGAATTCCCACTTAAGCGATTTCATTCTTCTTCTTCAAGACCCGCTAGCTCCTTACCGGAAGCAGTTGAAGCGTTGATTTTTTCACAGAACGTCTCCAAATTTGCCGGAGGTGTGCACGCATATCAAGCGATCGCTTGTTTCTTGCCGCAAGTCACTACGGTAGATCGTTGAGCTCTTCCACGGTAGTCACTGGACAACGCTATCAGTGAGCCGCATGCGCCGAGGAGGGCGTTTCCCCAATGCGGTGCGCGCGCATTACTAGTAGTCTGACTAAAAGCCAGGATGCCTGCAGAGGAACTCTTATCCTCCAGTGCCTTCTGTAAGTCAGTATACACATTTTTAACTGGCTAGCTTGCGTTTTGCTGTTGATTTGTACGAGGAGCAACTTGGCAGTGTGCGCCGTGTTACGCGGGCCTTGCCCAGCGCCTTCATTTTTTGTCCCCAAGGTTATAGCTATCGTTGTAGTCTGATTACTGAAGCCTGCCTACGAAACCACCCCACCATAGGTGCCACAACCTAATTGCATCGTTGTTGGAGACACTACGCATAAACCCTGCTTCAGGTACATTAGCTTCTGCTTTCAACAGTTATCTCTACAACAGGGGGATATAGGGATGGCTCGAAGCACCAAAAAGGAAGAAACAAGGGGTCATTACACAGCAAAGATGCACCAAGCTACATGACACCATCCCTATATCTTCGTGTTAGTTCACAAGTAAAGTTTACTATGAGACAAAGATATAGGGATGGTGTCATGTAGCTTGGTGCACCTTTGCTGTGTAATGACCCCTTGTTTCTTCCTTTTTGGTGCTTCAAGCCATCCCTATATCCCCCTTCATTTTGAAGAAATGATTTTTCCCACTTGTATATATATAATATAGATGGCTCAAAATAATAAACACGGGTTTCACACATCCAAGACACACAAAAGCTACATGACACCATCCCTTATCTTCGATATGTGAATCAACAGATCACAAACATTATTACGTATGGATGGTGTCATCTAGCTTTTGTTTCTTAACCTGTGTAATGAGCCCTTGTTTCTTACTTTTCATGTGTTGAGCCATCCCCTTCATTTTGAAGAAATGATTTTCCACTTATTTATGAACAGCCCTGACTACAGTCTTTATTATGTGCAATTGGGTATGTCATAAAGAGGCTGACAAAAGTAAGCACAGCTGGCAGGTGTGTGATGGAGTTGGGGAGGCAGGGACACTCTCAGCTAGGTCAGACCGACAAGCTGACGACCTGAGGAAACTGCTCGGCTCCTTTGGTTTGGTTTAATCATTTGAACGCCATGAGTGTCGGTTTTGGGGACTTTATGTACGAAGACCACGTGAGATTTGACCCGTGCCATCCCTATATAGAGTGTTTACCGATACTGTAATACACATTGACACACAGTACATTATCCACCTATTCTAAAATGCATTGAGTCATGTAAAATCAAACATTAAAAATCCGATGTAAAATGCACCAGCTACATAAGGAGGGGCTTGTCATCGTCATCATCATCACCAGCTATTGATAGAAAAATAAAAGAGGTAAACAAATGAGCACTCAGCACGAGTAAACTAATCATGCATGTGTCAACAAAGAGGTAACGAGGTGGAAAGCCAAGGCAAAGCAAACAAAGACTGCTTACTGATTGGCTGAGCCACACATGGAGTTTCTGGCGTGAAAACGTTTGAGCGTCTTGAAATCCTACAAATCATGTCCCGCTCACCATCCCATTCCTGAGCACCACGATCGTTAGCGAGTGCACACAGACAGCCAATTTGTAAACTGGATTCAAGGCAGGCTATACGTATGTACAGCTCTGCATCAGTTGGTTGGGACAACACAGAACTAGACATTAATTCCCCCCCCCCCCTGACTGCCTAAAATACCTGGAGCAACTGCCTCAGGGGAGTCATCATCCTCTGCAGTTTTGAGTGTGAGCAGATCAGGCTCTGCCGAGGTCAAAACTCGGATGTACTTCTGCCTCACTCTCCGGTACTTACTGTAGTGTGAATGAGTGAAGAGATAGAGTGCATTGGTGCCATTGCCACTTTCAGGCCGTTCCAGGGCAGAGACTTACAAAAGAGCAGGTACGGATTTATTATGAACAACACTTGCACAGACAGAGAGTCGAGAATAAAAGGGCAAATGAAAGGATTGGTCTGAAAGACAGCTATATACCCAACGAACAACAAACTTCACCCAATATCAATCACATATCCAGAGAAAGACATGAGTGTGAATTAGACCCAAACTCACGTTGAGACAACGAAGAACAGGATCAGAAACACACCAGTTGTCACTACTGCCAGTCCAAGGAGAACAGCCAGTGCTGTCACCTTGTCCCCATCTCCTCCCTCAGACCTCTGCCGGTCCACTTCAGGTGTGGGCCCAGATTTCGCCGCTGTGCTTGTGGCTGTCACGGTTGAAGTTGGCACCGTGCTACTGCTGGTTGAAGTTGAGCGCGAATTGGAAGTATCGCTTGTACTGGTTGAAGAAGAACTCGAGGTTGAAGAAGTACTTGTACTGGTTGAAGAAGAACTCGAGGTTGAAGAAGTACTGGCACTGCTTGAAGAGGTTGAAGTTGTGCTTGAAGAAAAGCTCAAAGTGTGAGTGGTAACTGAAGAAGAGCTCAAACTTGAAGTTGGGTTTGAAGAAGAGCTTGAAGTTAAAGTTGGGTTTGAAGAAGAGCTTGAAGTTGAAGATGAGCTGGCAGTTGAAGAGGTTCTTGTACTGGTTGAAGAGGAGGTGGAGGTAGAGCTGGATGTCGAAGTGGTGCTTGAAATTGGAGAGTTGTTCTCGCAGCAGTCTGCTGTATAGGGTTTGTACATGTCCTCCTCACCACCTACACAAACGTCCCCTCCTATCTTCCGGTACCTGCGATCGCAATTAGGTACTGCATATTAAAATGTAAAATATCTCTCCCTTCATACGAAAACATAGCCTTGGATGTTCCCAGACTATTCTTGTGTGGTGAGCATTAAACCCTGCTTAACATGCACACATAACCTTGCATCACAGCTGACATGAAGATGTAGAGGATTGACATAGGGAGTAACCTAGCCTAGAGCTAGCTGAAAACCTTTAGCTTCTATGGGAGAGACCAGCTTAGTAAACTCTCAGGCTTTATCAACTTGGATCCCTGACCTACACATTCCATGAGTAAAATGTGTACAGTACTGTAGTGCCTCACCCAGTACTAGCTGTGTAAGTCTTGGTCTTGCCATCTCCACATGGGTTGGGCAGTATGGTGATATTGTCCCTCACACATGGAGAGTTGAAGTCCGCACGAGCATAGCCATAATCACTGCAGAGAGGAACGGTTGTCATTGAGGTTTCCCTCACAATAGTACATAGTAATGGTATTTGTGGTGAGCGGCTTAAACTTTTTACCATTTACAGAATTGTAATATTTTTGTGAGAATGCCTGCATCAGTATGCCTGCTTAGCTTGCCAAAAAAATTAAGGAGAAAAAGGAAGATGCGTTTGCATTTTCCCACACAAAGACTACAATTTTCGAGAGTACTGGGAACAGAAAGATGGTCAAATGGACCAAAAGACAAAACATACGTACTCACAAAAAATGTATTTGCAAGCTGAGAGTTAACAACGGGACACCATGGCAGAGATGGATGGGGCTACACTCTTTTTTAGCCTTTTCGTGTCACAACATCCCTTGTACATGCTCTTAAATAATTGCCATATTTAGCACCTAGCACGTACCACTCGTAGTCTTCACTGGTGCATTGACAGATGCGGAAGTCAAACTCTCGGTCGTATTCTCTTCCATTCAGACAGCACACCTGAGGCAGTCGTCTCTCAATGGTGATGGAGCTACCCAGGACACAGTCACTCTCAGTCCGCTGCATATTACACACCAAAAACGGAGTTCATAATGAAAATGGAGACATGCATTCTCGTTTGAAACTATTCATATATGTAGTCTGCACATAGCCTCGCTCCCAGCTCTACAGTGTTAGGTGTCAAAGGTACCACACAATGAAAAATAGAGTGAGTAGGAGTGAGCCTGGGGATAAGGCTAGTACGAGTCAACAACAAGGTGAGGTAATAGGCAAAGCAAACAAGTCAACTACACCCACGAATCCAAGGAAAAAAGAAGAACTGCCCTAAGTGGTATTCGAACCCACAATACTCTTCTGTCTAGGCAAGTACATGTACACATTAGGTTCCTAACCACATCCCACGGTCTCCAGTCGTAGTAGTCAGAGTCACCACAGGGCCGAGAGAAGATTGCAGCAAAGTCAACAGTCACCACAATCCACTCAAACGGGCTACTGGTTCTCCTCCATTGACCTCCGTAGAGACTGGCTACTGTTGTGTGGTGACCTGGCTCCGTGATCACTCCAAACACTGTGATGGAATGCTACGGAGCAGAACACACAGTGTAATGGACTACCATACCCAAAGGTTAAGTTTTATCCCCATGCAGTTCATAACGAAAATGAAAAGCACTAAAGTGCAAACCCTCGACGAACTTCGCATGCACAATACCGCTAATTGACGGGCTGGACTATTAGTATGTGTTTACTCGTGGTCTCCCGCTAGAATAGCTCGCGGAGAGTCTGACACTGGCTAGTAGATAGCATGTGGTAGTCAATACACACCCTGTGGCTTCTTGTGCCTTCAAGATACACAGAGTGTGCAGACCTGGTCGAGGCAAGCCTGTGCTAATTAGCAATAGCTTGTTAACCCTCGGCGCGCATGCGCAGCGAGGGTTACAGTAGTTGGTTTGTCTATCTGTGTGTCGACGCTTATTCTGGCACTACAGGCCACGAGGCGGTGTACTAGCGATACCAGCGGCTTCAGAACTATGCGAGCCTGAAAAATAAAAGGGCGACTTTCCTGAACTGAAACGACTGCGTTGGAGAGACATGCCGTGAAAACAAGCAAAAAAGCCAATATGCATAATCGCACTGGGCTTACTGTGACCTGATCCGCTCGCTCTGTGTGTATGTACATTTGAGGGTCAAGAAGTCACAACAAAGGGGGTGTATCGACTCCCGCATGCTATCTACTTGTGTAGCTAGCCCATGTCATACTCTCCGGAGCTTCTAACGTGGAGAGACCACGAGTAAACGCATACTCTTGGCCCAACCCATCAATTAGGGATACCGCGCATGCGCAGTGCACCGAGGGTTTGCACTTTAGTAAAATTGCCCTGCCTATCAATAGCAGGCTTACTTCCACGCAAACGTATACGCTGAGCTTTTAGTGATAAAAGTCTGGGATAAACAAATTGTATATATACAGTATTGAACCTTCCCAACTCAAGTATTGGGTGTGGTCTGATGGATAAAAATGCGCACACTAGATCTTGAGGTCAGTGGTTCGATCCCAGTCTGTGTGGTGTTTTTTATATATAAATGATGTAATCTGAGTGTTGATATAAGAGGATCGTTTTTTCTTCACCTCTTGTGGCCAGCCCAAGTGGCTAAGTGGTTAGAGACGTGGGGACTGACACCATAGGTGCCCGGTTCGAATCCCGGACCGCACTAAAGTGTCAGGTGGTTCAGAGCATTGGCTGGGAACAGCTCTGATTCCTCCCCTTACCCATGAATCTACCACTGACCCACATACAACTCAAAGGACAGCGTATAGTTCGGCATAGCACTGCGTCCGTAGACATCTGTCTGGAGAGATGGAGGGCTGGCCCAAAATTTTTTTTTTCAACCTTACCATTTTTTGAATCCATGGAGAGATTGAATGGTGCATAATATGCAGCTAGTTTTTTTGCATGGGTAGTACTAGTGGAAATGTTGAACATTGTTGGCGAGCGGGAGAGACCCAACTTGGGATTTGCCCGCGATGTTCGGGCTGCATAACGTGCCGTCAGCGCACAGCTTTCCTTTCGTGATCTACCTGTCGCCATTACATGCGTATTGTACATTGGCAGAACGGTGAGCAGAACGGTGAGCAGAACGGTACTTACCTTACGCTTTCAACTCGTGGTCCACCAGGCAGCTGGCATGCAGCAGTATGTGCACGAGCAATCCTAGCATATTTGCAAGTTGCACCTTGGAAACATGAAGATTGGGAAGAGGTCAGCCTCGGTCAGTCACCGAAGGTTGCAGCGCATGCCGTCGAATGGAGGAGAGTTTTCTAGCTGGCTAGATCGATCGGCGCATATCGCGTGAGGCACCGTGTGTGAAAAAGTGTAAAAATTTGGAAAATTAGTTTCGGATAAAAAGAAGCGCGTACAAATCCGCGCGTACGACACGACGAACGACTATATAGGTTCACTCGCTCCTGCTTTTTTTCTGTGTGTAAGTGCCCTCTCAACTGTGCTTCCATTAACCTTAGGCGCACATTACACAGCTAAGGTTAAAAGTACTAGAGAGTAAATGACAACGCATCTGTATAGCATTTAGTGGTACCACACATGTGTATACGTTTGACATATCTAGTGCGCCGAGGGTTTGCACTTTAGTGCTTTTCATTGACTTGGCTTTCACGCCATAACTCTGACGAAAACTCGCCTTTTTAAAAAAAGAAGCAAGTGTAGCGCTGGTGTAGCTTCTTGTTGCACGCGGTGGAAGAAACCAAGTACTGTAATATTCACTGCGCAAACGCGCCAAGGGTTAATCACTCATAGTGCATAAACCCTTGTCACTATTTTTACCATCGCATAGTGGTAGCATCTCCAGAACATGGCTAACTGTTTTTGACCCAGAGACAACACCTCTCTAATGCAGTAGCAGTCTTATAGTCTCGCAGAGCAAGTCCGACACACACAGTTTGTCTTTATGTACAATATGTATGCACACAACACGGCATCCGTCAAGGTTTTAAGAGCCCGCCACAGCTCATCCTTGTGAAAGAAACTACAGCACGACTCATGTATTCGTTTTCTTGCACACATGACACTCATGTACACACGTGTTTATCCTCACATTAATGAACTGGAAGTCTGTCCAGGAGTAGCCCTCATCACAGGAGTACCTTAACTCCATTGACTCCTCCTCGTGGTAGTCCCTGGCCGCCACCATTAACCCTCCGTGGTCTGCCAGATTAACCCCCCAGCTCCCAGCTAGCGTCTGCTCCCAGGTTATTCCACCGTCACGAGAAATGTACAGGTCTGGGAGGCTATTCAGTGTCTCACCAGTGTTCCCTACAGATGGGGACATTCAATACCATCATGGTTTGTGCACGTCTTTTGGAGCTATGTATATACCTACATGTGCGCAATACAAGAACAGGTGCAATGAATCATCTGGGCAAAAGTTAAACCCAACTGGATTAGGCCATTCAGTGTCTCACCAGTGTTGCCTACGCACATGGGACAGTGGCAAGCAGTATTAGTATAAGGAATTTTCGCCATCTGTACCATATAAGCCTGTCTGTGTTAGCTACACTTAGGAATTAACGTCAATTAATCAGTAGTCACAGTGGAATAGCCATGCATGGGGGTCGGTAGGCTATAACATCCCTTCCCTGTCAGAGTGCTCACAGCTTAAACAGAAATTATTAACCCTCGGCGCGCATGCGCAGCGAGGGTTACAGTAGTTGGGGGTCTGTCTGTCTGTCTGTCTGTCTGTCTGTCTGTCTGTGTGTCTGTTACTCTCCATCTCACTTCTCGAGTGTTTGTTCGTCTCATAAGGACACGATCTACTTAACGGGCAATGAAGGTCAGAAATTTCAAACGGTTTTCTCTGAAAATGCTCCATTGCAAAGCTAGAGCGCATCCAGCACTGTACAGCTAATGCCGGCAGACGCCATTTTATCGCTACGGAAAATGCGCATGCGCTTATATTTAGCACAGGCTTACCTCGACCGGGTCCGCTTGCGCTGTGTATCTTGAAGGCACAATAAGTCACAACGAATGGCGTGTATCGACTCTCGCATGCTATCTATTACTGTAGCTAGCCCGTGTCAGACTCTCTGCGAGCTACTAGCGGGAGACCACGAGTAAACGCACACTAATAGCGGTAACGTGCATGTGCAATTCGCCGAGGGTTTGCACTTTAGTGCTTTTCATTGTACTGTACATGCAACTAACCATTCACAGAACGCAATATACCAGTCAGAGCTGCAACCATTCTAGCTTCTAGCAAAACCGAGACACAATATCGGGTCTTTGAAGACAACCATTCAACAATTCGGCCTGCGATGGCCAATATGGCTCTATTCGGCCTTTGGATATGATTTTAAATTTATGTACATACATATAGTAGACCAAAGGCTGTAACACACACCCTTGCTTTTTACAGAAAGAGTGCATGTAGACAACTGACTCATACTACAGCATGTGTCTACAGTTCCCACCATGAGCAACAATAATTCCAGGGGCAGACTCGGTGGAGTAGACACCCAGTCTGGCATAGTAGGAGGTGTCCATTTGGAGGTGGAGGGTACAGTTGGGAGGCTCACAGTTGATGGGAACACCATTCAGATCCTCGTCAGGAGGCAATATCTATAGGGGCGCGTATGTCATTATTAAGAAGCAATCACTAATGAAGATCATAAGGACATATTAAACTGTGAGGATTGCCACACAAGCACATCTTACATAAAATGTATGCGGTGTTAATAACCGTTCGATGAATAACCCTGTTTTTCTCCTATGCTCTAAGTGACACCCTTTTTTGAGCAACAGCAGTTAATTAGCCTTTGTCTTGTGTGCCCTACCTGAAGTTGTTCCTGTAGCTCATGCAGTGGACTAGCCTTGTACCCAGGCCGTTTCCGGTGAAGGAGAAACGGATTCTTACACCACATTCTCAGCACAATGTGCTTCGAACTATGTTCCGGATGTTTTACTGGAGTGCAAACTTCAGCTATAGTCAAGGAATTCATTAGGTTTAGATAGCCTGTCTCTCCCTTCACTTGTTGGTGAAAAGTACGAAAGGTTTTGTTCCTGGGAATCAATTCCGCTATAGTCAAGGTATTTAAGAAGTGTGGTTCCCTCCACTTGCTAGCGAAAAGTACGAAAAGCTTAGCTCACCCTTTTTGTACCACTTATATCTTCGCTGGTGACATATGTGTAAAAAAAACCACGCACACATTCTCCCCCCTGTAGCAAACTCACCCCTGACCAGAATGCTCCATTGTCATAGGAGATGACTGTCCTTCTAGTAGAGGCACGACTGGCTGCATCTTCTCTTGCATACTGGTTGGCAATAAGGGTCCCATTCACTCCTTGAATCTACACAAAATGTATGCAATTCTCACAGTTTGATATTTTGTTGATGGTTGAGTTCGTGTAAAAATCAAAAGCAAAGTGCAAACCCTCAGCGCACACTCGTTCTGGTGCGCAATACGTATGCGCATAAATTACTATGTTAATTGATGGGACAGGCCACACCACGCCTTCTCTATGACCAAGTAACTTCATCTTGCAATGGTGCACTGAACAGGCTAGACCCGGTCAAGGTAGACAAGGCTTTTAATATCTCTTGAATGTGGCCGTTGTAGGAAAATTGCCTTTTTATTTTTTATCTCTTGTAGTTCTGACACTGTTGGGGTCACTTATAGGCCACCTCGTAGTCTGTAGTGCCCCCTACAGACTTAGAGACAGACGGACAGACAGACAAACCAAGTACTGTAATCCTCGCTGCGCATGCACGCTGAGGGTTAATTGTGCGTCCATACTATTCTTGCAAATTGAACTTGAATATGTAGTACTTGGGTGGAGTGTTACGCTTGTTATAAATTCCATGTTTATACTATCGCCTGTAAAACCTTTGTCACAGGCTCATAATAATATTTAATATCACACTACGAACACAATTTACATGCTTTTATGGACCACAGACTAATCAACCATCCTCAGTACATTACTACTTGTTATCCTACAGGCTTTTAATTAACAGTGACATCCAGATGTAGAGCCTCTTTCCGGAATATATGTAAGTATGGTGCATACATATCTCACCAGCTCGAGGTCAATCTGCCAGCGATTGTAGAGAGTCTCAATGACAATGTCAGTGAGAGAGAGACTGAAGTAGAGACCAGACTCATCTGAGAGGTAGAGGTTGTAGAATCCCCCTGCATGCTCCACTATCACCAGGGCCTGCATGTCGTCTATGTGGGACACCAGGTACCTGGAGGTGTGGCAGAAGAGTGTGTATAATAACTACTTACTCTAGTCTCGGGTATCCAGACCCCATACTGAATGGGGGTGGGTCCCCAAGACTACTATGGAGAACTCTCCAATGCATTGTTGGCGAGCGAGTACGAGCAGTTCGTGTTTTGTGGATATTTAGAACATATACAGTATGTGCAGTGCCTGACAGAGCCACCACATAAAATTAAAATTCCCCCATTGAAACGACTAGCTGTAGGCTCGCATCGCTTGCCAATAATTCCACCTTCAGCCCATAGTTTACACTGAGGAAGCCTCAGCACAGTATGTATGTACGTATACTATGCAATGTTGACAAGTGGAGTGTAATATGGCAAACTGCTTCCTACGATTAGGGAAAAAAAACTCGCCGCTATAATATAGTGCATGTAGAAAAAACCATCTAATGCATGCACAGAATCAAAGCAGAATCCAAAATTTTTTTTAATTGGACTAGAAACATTCTTGAAATCTTAGCAATTTCTGAGGCTGCTCGCTGGTATTTTCATCCGACTGGGTTTGACAGCAGTCAGTACTCGGCTCTGGCTCCAAAGATCTTCGTGGAATAGCTTGGAAGAACTCAGAAGTAGCTAACAGACTTTCCAAGTGTCACTCTGATATCCATGTAAGAAGTGAACTAATCTATCCGTGTGTTGGGTTTGTGTGTGTCCATTACTGTGCTTATATGGACATCAGCTGATCTTACAAGATATCACTAGAAGATATCCGTTTATGCAGACAGACAGTTCCAGCTTCTGTAGGAGTCAAACCCAGGGTTGACAAGGAGCTAGGAAATAAGCTAAACTCCCCCTGAGCTAGTGATGTACACCCCTAACCTTTACACTACTTACAAAGTCATCATAGCAACTAACAAGTAAGTATACACACACAGACACATACCTCTCGTGACCTCCAGGGATTGGTATGTGAGCTTTCTGGAGGGGCCCACGTCTGTCACTGACGTACAGAGCCACCATACCACTCTCTGTTCTCTGGGCAAATATGTAGCGACCGACAATCTCAAACGTGTCAAATGTATCGCGACCGCTGAGATTTGGGTCTAAATCCTTTGCCACTCCAGAGTATGGGTAGTCATAGACGTAGAGATGAGAAGTAGTGGTGTTGAAGTATATCCTCCTGTCATCATCATCCCAGTCACCATCAGCCCTACAGGGGGCAATCAGCATCAGCCATTTATGGAAAAGTAGTATGTTGTTAGTTCTATTGTGTACACCTGCCCAAACCTACTGAGCAATCACATGCCTGAGTCATTAAATAACTGAATGTGTAATACCATACAATTACATACATAAAACAAACCATTGGAATGTATCCACATTCGGTGCTACATACGTCCATAGCACTCCATAGTTCTCAGTCACATACAACTATACAGGAGAAACAAATATGAATACAATTATAGCCTCGGCAAGTAAACGCAGAGCATTACACAAGAGAATGACAGGGATAAAAAGGCCCAAACAAGTGCGTTCGGAAAGTTGGGATCGAACTTGGCACCTACGAGCCCATCATGCTACCAGTAAAAACACCAGGCTTACAGTATACGTAGCTCTATGCATACACACACAATGAGTTATATTCCAAGGCATACCGCATTCAATGTGTCCCGCATCAACATCCAGCCGTCTCTGGTGGGGTGGTAGACGACAGTAGTGGTGATCAGAGTGCTGGGAGTCAAGTCAACTGCTGTGAACGTTGCTCCCTCATCAACAGTGTAGAAGAGCCGTGGTAGCACAGCATCCACAAAGATCAACTGTTGATGAGTGAGAGTCATAATATACGCAACTATCGATTGTTGGAGCAAAAAATAACTCACTGTGCTCCCATTCACATAGAAGTTTTGGTAGAGAACGGTATTGTTCACTGTGCTGCTGATGTTGGTGAAAGAACTCCCATAGTTGGTTGACCTGAAAAATCCACCAACCATGCAGTGATACACTTATATATGTCGTGATGTGCAATTGTATCATGTTTCCATACCGTGTATGTATCTTGTATGCATACATTTACAGAATTTCCTGTTGCTCACACTTTATATACACACGTAGTATCATACTGAGAGCTGTATAATGTATACGTATTTGTTGGATATCCCTAGGCAACCGACATGTATGAAGCAGGTACTAGGGAATTGTATCAGCCTATACAATCCTACATGTGCAAGAAGGGTTCATACATGTCGGTTGTCTACAGGTATATCCAACAAATATATATTTACTAATGTAGTGTACCTGTAAAGGTCTGAGCGATATGCGACATTGTTGATCCAGTCATAAGTGAGAACAATTATGACCTAAAATATGTGCAAACACACAGTCATCAAGGATCATAACAAGGCCACAACATTAACATGTACAAATGGACCCAAGGACACCAAGAAAACATCTCAACATAAAATTCAACAGGTTATATTCATCTGGCAACTTGGAGGTTCTTCAGCCCCTACTTTTCAAACCTTTCCTACCAGCTCATGCACATTGTAGCTCTCTTGTCTTACCTGACTGCCACCACCGGGGTAGTAGATTCTGGCACGGTAATGGCCATCGTGAAACTCGTGAACTCCGTCCACGTGAGGTTGGCGACTTGTTTGACGTTTCAGTAGCTGCCGATAAACAAGAACACGAGTGTGCAAACGAGCTACCTAACATGACCACACTGCACTGGGGAGTTCACCTGGTGAGTACCAGCAGCAAGCTCTGACGGGGAACCGTCGTGCTCAAAACTCAAGTCAACGATGTTGGTTGGCTTTCTGTGGAGTTCAGTCAGTTGACTGAGTCTTCCCCAGGCCTCCTGGGTTCCCCAGAGGACCACCAGACACACGAGGAACGCCGCAATACGAGCCATAGCAGATACACACTGACACACACTACTCCTCCTCCGACCCTGCCCCTCAAATAATTATGATGTAATGCAAAATTATCATGTATCTTGTAGTATAACACAAAAGGGAATTATCTACACAATTTAAAAAGTTTGATTCAGTTCTCATTCCCATTAGTAGCGTAGTGCTACAGAATCAGTGGCTTTTCATCATCATCCTCACCACCAGCAACTGGAAAAACACATCATATGTAGTTTCATACAAAAAATGAAAACCACAATAAGCCAACACGTACACAACATTCCATACTATACACAAAAACACATTACAGAGGGAGATACGCACGCTGCATACTGCCAAAAGTAGCATGGCCAACTGCAGTGGAACCTCCGAACAAGGGACACTATGGGACCAAGAGAGGTCGAGGTCGTCACTATCTCAAAGGTCAAATAATGCACTAAGTACGTATTGGCATGGGGTTAAAACAAGGTACTTTGTAGAGAGGTTATCCCTAACATGGAGGGTCGCTTATTGGATGTTCCACTGTAATGGCAAGTGAACCCTACTATGTACAGAAAGTATAGTGAAGAAAGAAAGTTGGCCCACCAGGAGCAAAGTTCTCTGTGGAGTAATCTTCATCTCCTCTCTCATTGAGCATGCGCAGGTCAGGCTCTGCCGCTGTCAACACTCGAACATACTTCTTCTTCAGTGTCTGGTACTTCCTGCAGTTTCAAAGAAGAGTTTACCAATAACATTACTAGGCAGACAGGATAACATGTGACTGTGTATGTTTGGTGTACATGTACGTATGTATGGGTCTGCAGTGTAAGTACATATACATAATAAGGGACTTCGAGAATTCATCAGAAATAGTCATAGTCATCCTAGACCACAAACCAACATTATTAGCAGGTAATATGGGGGTTCAAATCTACAGCACAAAACAAAGGCAAACATCATTTGGTACATGTTAAAAGTGTCAAACCACAGTGGTGTATGTTACAGTACACTCACTTTCAACATGTACATAGATAGTATGTATGTACAGTATATATATACATTTGTAGTAATTGTTCCACTCACATGGACACCATTATGAACAGGACGACAAACACTGCAATGATCAGGAGTGCGAGAACAAAGAGAACCCCCAGCACAACGACCTTAGGCTCCGCCCCCTTGTCTCCACTGTGCTGATCCACTGTGGTGTAAACTGTGGAGTAAATTGTGGAGTAAACTGTGGAGTTTGATGATGAAGGTTGACTGTGGTGGGCGCAGCAGTCAGCCTCTTGTTTCTTGTACATGTCCTCCTCACCACCAGCACACACATCTCCTCCTATCTTCCGGTACCTGCAGGGCAGCATCAAGAGGTGTGTTAGGGGGAGTGTCCTGTAATCAAGTAGCGAGTAAAGTGCCAAGCAACAACACCCGAGACAAGAAAGAGCTGCCCTGGGTGGGACTCGAACCCACAACACTGCTATTTAGGCAGAGTGCTCTTGTCCCAGGGCAGCTCAGGAGGCAGGGGCTCAAAAAGTATGTAACCAACTACACGTGCAAAGTCAAACCCACACACTCTGGGACAGGAACTACCTATGAATTCGACGTACACTGAGGAGCAGGCCCGGGGTAACGAAACTACCTAAAGACACCCAAACTCAGTGCAAGTTCAATTGTACAAGAAGCCTAAGCCAGGGCAAAGCAAACAATTCAACAATACCTGCATATAGATACGTACGGTATGTACGTGGTGTGTGTGTATGTATGTATCTGTATGTGCGTGCGTGCGTGCGTATGTATGTATGTACGTACACACAGGGAACAAATCAGAGCTGCAAAAAAGGCTAGCTTGGTTGTTTCAAGGTTGTCAAGACATTCTAAGACAACAAACAGTCTCACATTAAAAGACATCACATAATGTAACCTGCCGTTAGAGTACAGCGCTTGATAAAACTTCTATCCTATTACATACTTTCTGTGTACCAACATTTCCTTATAGCTACGTAACTGCTCACCCACTGCTGGCCATGTAAGTCTCGGTCTTGCCATCTCCACATGGGTTGGGCAGTATGGTGATATTGTCCCTCACACATGGAGAGTTGAAGTCCGCACGAGCATAGCCATAATCACTGTGGGAAAACACATACAGTGTGAAACGTGTACACAACATTACATGTTTATTTTTCATGTTGTATGTATAGCACAGTGAGATGCATCAGATACACTGTACTTAAGAAAAACACACTCTTGGCGAAAAGGAGCACTAGCAGCAGAGAGGGACCAACATGCTCGCCGTGAAAGCGCCCTTTAGTCGTGGGCCGGGATTCGCTTGCAGTCTAGCTCGGCACATGCAAGGTCACAATAAGCTTTAGCAAAGGCTAGCTGAAATTGCTTCTCTGGCAATGCTGGACTGAACCAGCACTGGAACAAGACCCATATGCTAGTTAATGGACTTGGTTGCGTTGTTTCTCGCTATACGTATGTATGTACCTTCTGACACAGGCAAGCTACACTGTGTTCTAGGGTACACAAGTTATAGGGATGGAAGACACGACACGACACTCATCTTCCGTTTCAGCCCATTGGTATTCCTTTCTGGTTTGCTTGTTGCTTGGGGTGGTTATCATAACAATGCAGTAACAGGCAGAGTGGTGTACACAGACTCAGTCCTACACTGCATGACACAATTACCACAGTATAGAGTGGCTCACCACTCATAGTCTTCACTGGTGCATTGACAGATGCGGAAGTCAAACTCTCGGTCGTATTCTCTTCCATTCATACAGCAGATCTGAGGCAGTCGTCTCTCAATGGTGATGGAGCTACCCAGGACACAGTCACTCTCAGTCCGCTGCAGATGGGACAAGTGGCACACAGTGTCCATAATAATGCCAGTCCTACACCAGTAAGCCATTTGTACAATTTCTTGGTCAGCCACTCATTCTCTCTCGCTTTTTACCTATCTTTATACCCGTATCAATGTCTGCAATAGCAAAAGGTGTTAATCACATAACTGAGGCTAAGGCCAGTGTTAGAGTTTAAATTCCTGTATCACACTAAAGAGAGTCCGTCACGAAAGAAAACCATGTGGATCACAGAGACTAAAGACAGAGACACACAGGGTGCATGCATACTGTTACATGGTATATTAGTGGGGAAATATTAAGTTATAACCCCCATCATAATTTTACTTATTTTAGTGTCATGTATGCATGCCGCTTACGGGTATTGCACAATTCTCGGATGGTTTAATTTTCGTATTTCCTGCTGTACAGTAGAGTCAGTGTATGGTATTAAAAACAGACCACATCCCACGGTCTCCAGTCGTAGTAGTCAGAGTCACCACAGGGCCGAGGGAAGATTCCAGCAAAGTCAACAGTCACCACCGTCCACTCAAACGGGTTACTGGTTCTCCTCCATGGACCTCCGTAGAGACTGGCTACTGTTGTGTGGTGACCTGGCTCCGTGATCACTCCAAACACCGTGATGGTTTGCTACGGAGCAGAACAAATGGGAAAGGAGATGGTAAGTGTGCGCTAGTAAAAGTAAGTAACTCAACATTACAATTGTGCTTGTATAGAGGAAGCCTGGGGGGAGCCTGGGAACAAGGCTATTACATCCTCACATTAATGAACTGGAAGTCTGTCCAGGAGTAGCCCTCATCACAAGAGTACTTTAAATCCATTGACTCCTCCTCGTGGTAGTCCCTGGCCGCCACCATTAACCCTCCGTGGTCTGCCAGATTAACCCCCCAGCTCCCAGCTAGTGTCTGCTCCCAGGTTATTCCACCGTCACGAGAAATGTAGAGGTCTGGGCTCCCACTCAGTGTCGCACCAGTGTTGCCTACAGATGGGACATTCAATACCATCATGGCTTGTGCGTGTCTTTTTGAGCTAGTACGTAATACAAGAACAAGTGCAACGCATCATCTGGGCAAAAGATTGCCTGCCAGGGTTAGCAAAAGCCAACTGGATTGGGTTGACAATAACGGTTGCTCTAGGTAACATAAGGATGTATGTGCAGACAATTTAAAGCAAACACCTAATGCCTTACGTAGGCTAAATCAACACAACCAAGATACTGTACACGATCAACAGTGGGTGTATGGGTTGGATTGGGATGACCAACACACCATGAGCAACAATAATTCCAGGGGCAGACTCGGTGGAGTAGACACCCAGTCTGGCATAGTAGGAGGTGTCCATTTGGAGGTGGAGGGTACAGTTGGGAGGCTCACAGTTGATGGGAACACGATTCACATCCTCGTCAGGAGGCAATATCTATATGTAGGGGCACATGAATACATTAACATTATATAGAGTATTAGTGACTGCTGTATGTGTACTGTATCTGTTGGAAACTTCGTATTGCTCAGTGTGTGTGATTGGGTGTCCGTAAGCATATTCACGTTTACTTTCAGGAGTGAAAAAACACTTGAAATTACAGACGTCCTAAATTACAAGTGGTCTCTGCCAATGATGAAAACACTAAAGAACAAAGCCTCAGTGTTAAGGAGCTGGTAATGTTCGTGGGTTCAATCCCACCCAGGGCAGCTCTTTATTAAAAGGAAAAAAAAGGGCTGTCCTAGGTGTAGTTGATTTGTTTGTTGTGCCTTTGCCTTTCTACCTCATAGTTTTCACCTGTATATAGAGTACTTCATCAATCACCGAACACCACTCTTTATCGGACACCTTCGAATTATCGGACCGCAATGTCTTGTCTACCTACAACTCACTGCAAGGGCAAGGCGAGTTATATTCGTCCCCTCGGGAACTAGTATCCCGCGTTATTTACCTAAAATGCGCATTCGCCATCGGTTTGGAACAGACAAGCGCATGCGCACAATATGTGGCGTATGCTTTGTGCAAAATTCCGGCGTTAGTGCACAGCTGTACGAACGCCGTACTGCGTGTTCTGCTGTAGTATTATAGTGTTGAGGTTTTCTGAGTACATAGCGCTGTCTCTTTTAGCTTTAAAATGCACTGTCCGAACAAGGGGCCATGTTCCGACTGACGGTGGTGGACGGTGAGCGATCTTTGTTCCGCCGTAGCGTTACTGTCCCTCTGCCGAAGCTGTACGCGTGCATGCCTGTTGAGTGACACCCTCTGAGGTGTACTGAGCGTAGCGAGGATAGCTAACTCTGTCTGGTCCGAGAGAAATGGCTGTGTCTGGGTGATGGTGTCCGATAATTGATGAGCTACTCTATATACATATGTATGGACAAGACAGTGTAATTGCATGATGGGGTAGGCCGGGCCACGTGGTTGCTGTCGGCAGTGAGCGAGCAGCATAAAATTAAGAGCAACGCTGAACTCGATTCTTGTCCTATGAGGACACTACATATATATGTTGTGCTGAATGTGAGGATCACTGGTTGGAGTCTGCCATTGCTCTCAGCATATTATTGGCTTCACGCCGTACGTAACTCTTAAGCACAACGGTTTCAAGAAAATACTTTATTAATACACTTTCTTAATATCCATGCCTAGGTAGTAGCACTATTGGCGTTGCATAGCCGGCGCTCTTTGGGCACCTCCCTCACGCAGCCCAGCGTAGTGGTCAAGAATGAGAGCGTAACGAAAAACACACAGAGAAACACACACAAAGTAGCGTAACCTCGTCCCTGCGTCATGGGTTAATACAGCTACACTCGCTCTGCAAGGTTTGTCCCAGTATTCTGTCTGCTATTAATTGGTTGAGAAAGCAGCTAGAACAAAAAACTAAACCACAACAGAGACAACAAACAGAGCAAAACAGAAAGACCAGAAGAAACAGCTACAACACAAGCAACAAAGCTGTGTGATCGACATCTGACTACTGTGTGGGCACTTAAGGGTGACTTTGGACAAATGTATATATAACATATCTAGCACTGCTCCATTCACATTATACTGCGCAACATATGATTGAAAAACAAACAAAAAAGAGGGACGAGTGCGAAAGCACACATTTCTCCATGGAACACGTCCAAACACGTTTACATTCTCCCTAGATGATAATGAACACCAATTCAAATTCAATGTCACTATTATAAGGCTAACGACTGCAAAGAAGATGCGTGAGAGTGTATACTACAAACTGTGCTGCAGCACTCCCACACACACCACTGCATGCACATCCCACCACACAAAACTGCATGCACATCCATCCCACCACACAAAACTGCATGCACATCCCACCACACAAAACTGCATGCACATGCACACACACAAACTGGCATGCACATCCCACCACCCAAACTGGGTCATGCACAGTCCCACGCCACCAAACAACTGTATGCACGACTCCCGCACCACACAAACACTAGTGCAGTGATTGAATGATGCATGCACATGACCATGCAGGTACACCCCTGACGTGCAACAGCTTTGACAACAGAGATCCCGCAGTTTCAGTTCACTGGTCATTCTGCCACAACTAAACCTAAAAGCTTGTCAGGCTGTTCTCGTATTCTGGGGGACGAGAAGTGTGGCCAACCGCCTGCATTACAGTAAACATATGTACCTTGTATATATGTACATGTACATACATCTGTTTTTGTTCCCCATTACATTGACCCCAACTCACCCCTGACCAGAAGGCTCCATTGTCAGAGGAGATGAGTGTTCTCTTGGCAGAGCGAAATGGAAATTGACCATCTCTTGCATACTGGTTGGCTATGAGAGTCCCGTTCAGTCCATTAATCTAGACACACAGACACAAACAAGTATTGATACTTTCAACTTCCTGTAAAATTCACAACTATTAATGTACTGTAAATTGGATGGGACAACAGGACCTGATGTCTGAGTAACACACACATAAACCCTTAGCGAGGAGCAGTACTGTCTTGTCCACATACAAATATACAGTATGGTAAATAAGCAATAACAACAACCAAAATTACATGACTATGCAAATGATTACTCTGGCCAGTTGCATGTGCCATGGTATATAGCATGAGATGTGTAAAAAAAATGAGGTTATGTGCCATAAAGACTTTGTGCTTTGCACATGAAGGTTTATGCATAAAGCCTGTGGAAGACTGGTGATGGCTAAGCTAAACTAAACACCCCATACATAAGTGCAAACCCTCAGCGTACTAGAAATGCACACATGCGTACGTATATACGTATGCACATTACAACACCTACTAACATGCGCGGATCAGTAGACTACTACTACATAACTGCAGGGCTGGGCCCTTTGTTCGAGGTCGCTAGCCAATGGGTCGGGCTGGAGACTGCGACAAGTCTAGGAATAGGGAACCAGTGGGACTCGATGCTTTGCCCTCTGTTCTAACATCTGATACATGTACATCCACAGTAGAAAACGGGCAGAATTCAGCCGAGGTAAGCCAGTGCTAATGGCTTATTAACTTGTTTTTCATGCAACTAACAACACACACACACACACACACACACACAAAGTACCGTAACTCCTGCTGCGCATGCAAGTCTGAGGGTTAATTGGTTCATACCATAAAATTGCTTTTGCTCACTAAGGAATGCAGTAAGTGACATGATTTTGACAGCTAACACTTACAGTTTACATATCCACCTAAGTGCAAGATCATACATACTGTACATATATATGTATATACATCTACACAGCAGGCGACACAAAACCTAGCCACATTTACCAAGCTACAGTATCAATGCAACACAGTTCGTACTCAGCAACGGGTTACGCATGTCATACACACACAGTACGCATGAGTATGGTACATACATATCTCACCAGTTCGAGGTCAATCTGCCAGCGACCGTAGAGAGCCTCAATGACAATGTCATTGAGAGAGAGACTGAAGTAGAGACCAGACTCATCTGAGAGGTAGAGGTTGTAGAATCCCCCTGCATGCTCCACTATCACCAGGGCCTGCATGTCGTCTATGTGGGACACCAGGTACCTGGAGGTGTGGCAGAGCAACACTGCATGTAACAACACTCAACACAATACACAACTGTACACATTCCTGGCCCATGTATATATATACATTCTTGGGCGTCAGTAGTGCAGTCGTTACGGTTTACCTCACAAAAAGTACATGTTATGGAGGCTAGCCCTTCGTATAGTGTCTAGTTCTTTCACAAAGCTATCTGCACGAGTAAGAACGAGTGGTACCTACATATTAGATTTGGATGGATCATGTGGTGAAATTGCTCACAGTTGAACACACATGTACTGCGTGTATGTATGTATCATGCAGGCACTCTACAATAGGCAGTGCGTAAATTACACTGCTCCCCCATGGTTCACCTGTACAATTACTGTCTACACATGTGTACCTCTCGTGACCTCCAGGGATTGGTATGTGAGCTTTCTGGAGGGGCCCACGTCTGTCACTGACGTACAGAGCCACCATACCACTGTCTGTTCTCTGGGCAAATATGTAGCGACCGACAATCTCAAACGTATCAAACGTGTTGTGGACTCCAGATTTGAGTCAAATTCCTTTACTTCTCCAGAGTACGGGTAGTCAGAGATGCAGAGATGAGAAGTAGTGGTGTTGAAGTATATCCTCCTGTCATCATCGTCCCAGTCACCATCAGCCCTACAGGGGGGGAGCAACAGTTCGTGGTTATCTGAATATTACAATCAACCTCTCCTGATCTGCAGCTGAATGAAAGGCATGCAGATTATGCAGAGGGTATTATACACACACATAAGCTAACTGAGGGCCACACAAGCCACCATTTTTCTCGGTAACCGCGGCAACTCTGAGCATGAAACGTGGACGTCTGTATTATCAAGTAGGAGGCATGCATGGTAAACTAAGATTCTGGAGCGGAGAAGGCCGGGGAAGCTGGTGAAACGGACGGCAGCCGAGGTGAGTGTGCGTCAAATAGAGATCGTGGACGATCGCTGTACTTAGATGCTTTGCGTGTGTGGAGAAGATTTGCTGGTCTGCCTGTATTGATGGTACATTTGAGTAGGAGCGAGATTGCCGGTGAAATGAGAGCCAGGGAGTGAATCTGTTCAGTGAAGGAGTCACAGAAAACCAACCTCCATAATCAACAGTGGCGAGGGTCAAGTGCTTTTCGTTAATGTTTAGCACTCGTTAATGTTTAGCACTCGGAACAACCACATGGAGTAGATATTGTACACTTGTCCTCTGAATAGCTTCAAACAGCCAAAACTTTGCGTGGTGGCATTGTAGGTGTAGGTTTTCTACTTCTGTTATACTTAACACAGTGTTTCAGGGAGATTCCAGTCCATGCCTAACTATGTACATGGTAGTGAGGCCATTAGTATATTATGTCGCTCTTTAGCCCACCCCTGAATACCATGCACACAGACAGACACACACACACAAACCCAAGTACTACAATCCTAGTTGTAGGTGCATGTCAAGGGTTATTGACCAGTCCATATCATGTATAGTGGTAACTAACCATACAGAAGTGTTCACTTTCTGTGCAACACTTGTCCAGGTCTTTCCAAAGTTTTTGGTTACATACAACTGCAAGGGAGAAGTGTATCAGTAAAGACTTCCAACTGCTAAATAGCATAAAGGAAGTAGTATCTTCATTGGCATCATGCACAACAGAACGCGGAGCATACAGTGTTAGACTGGTCCTGCATCAACATCCAGCCGTCTCTGGTGGGGTGGTAGACGACAGTAGTGGTGATCAGAGTGCTGGGAGTCAAGTCAACTGCTGTGAACGTTGCTCCCTCATCAACAGTGTAGAAGAGCAGTGGTACCACAGCATCCACAAAGATCAACTGTTGATGAGTGAGAGTCATATACGCAACTATCGATTGTTGGAGCAAAAATAACTCACTGTGCTCCCATTCACATAGAAGTTTTGGTAGAGAATGGCATTGTTCACTGTGCTGCTGATGTTGGTGAAAGTACTCCCATAGTTGGTTGACCTGAAAAATCCACCAACCATGCAGTGATACACTTATATATGTCGTGATGTGCAATTGTATCATGTTTCCATACCGTGTATGTATCTTGTATGCATACATTTACAGCATTTCTCATAGTTTACACACACATACTGTATGTATGTAGTATATCACACAACTGTATACTTACTGATGTACCTGTAAAGGTATGAGCGATATGCGACATTGTTGATCCAGTCATAAGTGAGAACAATTATGACCTAAAATATGTGCAAACACACAGTCAGATTGAGGGATCATAGCAAGGCCACAACATTAACATGTACAAATGGACCCAAGGACACCAAGAAAACATCTCAACATAAAATTGAACAGGTTACATCTGGGAATTTGGAGGTTCTTCAGCCCCTACTTTTCCAACCATACCTACCAGCTCATGCACATTGTAGCTCTCTTGTCTTACCTGACTGCCACCACCGGGGTAGTAGATTCTGGCACGGTAATGGCCATCGTGGAACTCGTGAACTCCGTCCACGTGAGGTTGGCGACTTGTTTGACGTTTCAGTAGCTGCCGATAAACAAGAACACGAGTGTGCAAACGAGCTACCTAACATGACCACACTGCACTGGGGAGTTCACCTGGTGAGTACCAGCAGCAAGCTCTGACGGGGAACCGTCGTGCTCAAAAGTCAAGTCCACGATGTTGGTTGGCTTTCTGTGGAGGTCAGTCAGTTGACTCAGTCTTCCCCAAGCCTCCTGGGTTCCCCAGAGGACCACCAGACACACGAGGAACGCCGCAATACGAGCCATGGCTGCTTTGAGTAGGAGAGAACCCAAGAAGAATGACACCCCAAACTCTCCGCTTTTCCGCTTGCGTTTTCACAATGAAGCGCGCATGCGCAGGCGCGTGCATAGGCCACATTGTGCTGGCTCTTGCAAAAAATAATCAAAATCACGACAGTGGTAATCCTTATAGTCCTAATAATCACCTGGAAAAAACAAACAAACTACGTTATAAAGTGGAACGAATCCGCATAAAAACCTTACGTAATCTGGACTGGATGGTATCAGCAAGTGGGCTCAGGGCGGCCGAGGTGAGATGGGCCACCAGTTTCTCCCAGGTGGCCTGCTCGTCCTCCATCAGCCACGTCTGGAAGATGTCGTGCAGCACATCCACACGACCACCGTTCTCGTGGAGGGCCTGGATCTCCCTCACCCTTTCCCCCTGGGGACTCTTTAGCAGCACCTTCCCTATCGGCCTGCAGCAGTGGAACAACAGTATGAAAATTGAGTATTACACCTTGTCACAAACTGGGTTTCATACAGTTAATTAAAGGGACAAGATATGTATCTCGTGTTAGATGAGATAACTAATGTGTGCCAGATACTCAACAGTGGATGTTCACCCGTATATTATATATAATAATTATATACCAGCATCCATAGGGATAATAGTACACATAATAATATAATATCTGCCTAATTATACCAAGAGTGGCAACTTCTTTTGCTTGCAAGCGGAAATGCACACACTGCTCTTATATCACCTCTTACGGTGTGCAGTGTAAAACACCCATCGCCATTTTTCAGTCGATATACCAGACATCCAATCAGGAGTGACACTTGATGTAAATTTAAAAAACCCAAGGTTATCCGGTAATGACAGGACTTACATAACTCGTGTCCGTGTGCTTGGTAAATACTGTCATTCACTAGGCACTCTGGCATGTCTAAAAAGTGGATTTCTCTCAGCTACATTACTCACTATAATGTCCCGGCGGCAATCAAAAAGATTATACATGCAGATGGAGGAGGTCAAACAAAAGAGTGAGTTTCCATCCGCGTAGTGCCCTTGCTGCGCTCGGGACACTACAAGCGTGGAGGCCCTCGGGTTCATTGAAATCCGGTATGTTCCTCACACGTACATAGTACATAGATAGCCATCCGTGCCAGCGCTTACGTGCTCATAAATACATAATACATATAATATTATGTATTTCAAATTTAAACATTACTTACTTGTAATTCGGAATCTCTTCAAGGATATTCATGAACCCTGACCCCCAGGCTGGGTTTGGGAAATTTTGTAGTGTTGCAAGATCCACCCGACTTGCTGCCACCAAACAATGGAATTGAAACACAGTGATTTTGAAAGATGAAACTCACATTTAGGAAGCTTTTCATAACCTGAAGGAAAAGCATGATTCAAAGACAATCAGGAAATTAAAATAGGACCTCCATTTAACAAATTAAGCATGCACATGTTGAAAGCAGCACATGACAGCACCGTCCTGCGCCCCAATGGAGAGTGGACGGGTTGTACACTGTGGCGGTGCTTATCATCCGTAGCCAATACAAGAGTTTTAAAGCTCATGTATCATGCAAGTTGTTCTACGATCGTAAGGAGTCAGTATGTTCCCACCCTAGAAGGCAGTGGTTCACTGCTGCATCCTTATCTCAAAATATATCACCTCTTGCTACTCTGAAACTCACTCTTTTGTTTGATCTCCTCCATCTGCAGTGACTTCCACTCCCTCCAACTCACTCAACAGAGAGAAAATGATGAGAACTCTCAGTAGCCAGCCAGTCGATCGTCGGATGTTTGCGCATGCGTCATACCCACCCAGCCACACCCCCTACGTCGAGCCCCCTTTGCCTAGCTGACTGACTGAAGCAGTAATGGCTTCAGGTCAAACTCTAGAGCAGATATTGAGCACCGTACCGATAAAAAACCGACTAACTCTTGACCAGAAAGTTGAAAATCGACGTATCATTGCCAGGGTGGCGAGCACTATCCCTGATTGGCCCAAAGCTGCCAACTTCTTCCCAGGAATACTGAAACCTGAAGTGAATCCATCAGACATGACAACATGCTTTCCTTAGAGCAACAAAAGTGAGTGGCAAGTACATGGTTAGTCAGTGTGTCATATCCTGATATAATGTCTCTCTTGTGTTGGCTAGGACTGGCCTGGTGGACAAGTGGATTGAGAGGAATGGCCACACGGCCACGTATCGTGCATTAGCCAAATGTTTGTTTGAAGCTGGTGCTCTTGATTCCGTGGATAGGCTTTGCAGGGAGTTTGGCACTACTTCAACACCAACAGTTGTACCAGATGGAGGTGCGGTCTTTGTCCATGGCAAAAACTGTACCATGTGTTGTATTCAGTGTTTTATGTATCCAAGAGCCAGTGTTTTCTATACTTGAGCCGTCTTTCTTCCTGAATGAATCTTTTGTATACTTGGGCCTTAGCTCTCTGCATAGAGATATTCCAGCATTTTTGGTAGATTTACCATCAACATGCATGCATGAACCTGTGTGCATGAACTTTGTTACAGGACCAACAATCCCACCTCCTACAATGAAGGAACTAATGAACAATGTCCACACGGTCAAGACATTTGAACTGGGGATACAGTTAGACCTGGACCTCAGCGACGTCAACACAGCAATGGCAGACCACAAAAATGATGCCCGTGGCCAACTGATCAAGATTCTCTCTCTCTACATTCAACAGACAATGGATCCCTCGTGGCTCCATGTGGCCACTGCTCTGTATACCATTGGCGAGAACAAGTGTGCAGCTGACATTGAGCAGAGGTTTGGTGAGTGAGCAACGTGCTCCACTATATACTTCTTATTATGGTGTATACTGTGAATGGCATGCAGGCTTCCGTGTTCCTTCAGAAGTCATTTCTTCTACCTTCTCTGCTTCTACTAGTGAAAGTAAGCTCTCTTTTCCATTGGATTTCTTGTTACATTCCTCCCCTCTCCAGTCAAACAGCCTGTACCAGTTGTATCGCCAGATTTTAAGAAGGCTGTCAGCAGAGGTAATGTAGCGATACTATAATAATACATGCCCGGTATTGATAGGTTAACTATCTGTACTGCAGGCGATAAGGTCTACATCACAAGTCTGTCAAGGTTCCCAACACCAGCTGGGACCATCAACATACTCCAGAGGGTGGGGCCAGACTACAAGCCACTCCTGGGGAACATTCTACTGAGGAGTGAGGATGGACAGAGGATCAGAGCTCTGGAGATGACTCACTCCCACAATGTCGATGGAGTCGTGTACGACATGTTCCAGAAGTGGATCACAGAGGATGAGGACTGTACCTGGGGAGCACTAGTTCTCCATCTCCAACATGCCAGTCTGGGAACTCTAGCCAGAGACATACTATCTGCTCTCATTTGATATATTATATCTAATGTTCAATTTCCGCTTTTTGACTAAGTATACAATTGTAACTACCCATTACGAAGTTGGTTAGAGTGGAGAAGGGACGAACTGGAGCTAAAACCCAAGACCTATAGTGACCATTAACTCGTGTATATACAATGAGCTATAGTGTAGCCATGATATAACCCTATTCCTGTCCAAACCAGTTGAATCTGGTTTCAGGGTGGGATAAATTTTTAGGTTTTAGGCATTATTTCTCATTCTTGTACTTTGTGTCGTCACCCAATGATTGTACCAGTAACACCATGCACACCCATTCCTTTATGGACACAACAGAAAAAGGCACAAACAAAATTAAGTGCCTAGGTGATATTACTGGAGATCATCAAGTCCCTGGCCCCACCGAGTGGAAGTCATTTGGTATCCACCTCAACTATGACGACATGGGGTCCGAGCTGTCACTCAGCACAGCCAAAGTAACCCACAGAGCTGCTGCCGGGACATGATGATCCACTGGCTGCTGGGGAATGGGGAGGGGCCCACCACCTGGAGAACTCTGCTGGCCCTGCTGGAGGATGGCGAGAGGCCTACCTCGCTGACTGCATCAGGAGAGAACTAACTGACAGTAAAATATATGAACCATCCTTACACAGTTCCATAGATGTTGTCACTCACAACTCTTTCCATGTGCCTATAGGCATTAGCATACAATGTGGTGGGAACATTTCGTAGTAATGGGTCACACTGCAGAGTTCTACCTGAGTGTTATCACCAGAGACAAATTAATTTTAATGCTGTTTGTTTTTGCTTTCTCTGCTATTATTGGGGGAGAAAAGCTCCAGTTGCGATTGCTAGAGATTGGTTCTTGTGCAAGGGAGTTGATGAGAGCAATCCTGTCTCTTTGTAGCTAAGCACAACAGCATCCTTTGGTACTGACCCCTTGGAAGTTCCAGAAGGAAAGGAATGTTTGTTCTAATGATAGGTGCTACATGAGTGTTCTCATCTCAATAGGGAAATTACACTATAATCATTATGGAGGTGCACAAGTCAGTTAGGATCATACGACAATCCATACCTTATAATAATTATGGTATTTATGAATACCTTTAGGAATGTCCAGAATGACACAACTCAGCAGGGCTAAATATTATGTGTGCATGTATTACGACTGCCCTTTGAGTAGTGATACTATAATAATACCTATATACTGTGTCGATGCCATAGATGACCGAGGTGATGGAAATAGTACTAGCTAAAACTGGGCAATGGTTTTTAGTCGTAATATTATGTAGAACCCTGTCTAGTAACGTTTAGAGTGTTTGCACAGTAGTGAATGCATGGTTCCAGTTAAATTGTTGAAATATCTTGCATTACTTCAACAATCGGCACAAAGTGTATTCTATGTACAAAACAGTCACATAGTATAGTCTCTTGGGAGAATTATATACCCTTAATGATTTTTGTATGTAGGCTCTCTGTTAGCCTGCCTTACTGATGGCTTTAAAATTAATAATTCTTAGTTGAGACCTTAATTCGAGTGATCCAGACTGAAATAATTATGGTAGATGCTCAGGACTGTGATCACTAGAAGGTAATGTATTGGAAAGGTTAGCAAGCCTCCAGTTAGGGGCAAGCTCTCCCGCTTCGTCCACTGTGTCAACTTGACAACCAAAGTTTTGGCCTATATAATATAGCTGGTGGTTACATTTTGTCACAACTACTCAAGCAACAAGAGGTCGTGGGGGCTCAATTTACTTTAAGGGAATGTGGCAGTATATAAGGGCTGAATATTTAGAAACGTTACTAAAAACTTAATTGCATTCTTTCACTGTGCCCCTATTGGTTTGTTCTATCTTTAGTAACATTTCTAAATTTAGCCCTTATATACTGCCACATTCGCTTTAACATACTACACCGTAATATTGCTTCGTGTCGTAATTCCCATTATTCATAGAAGGCAAAAGTAGGTGTGTGTGTGTGGTGTGGGGTCTTGTTCATGACGTCACTTAGCATGCACGACCGCATGCTTGCACCCCGTACCAGGGCAACCGTCCATGCGCGTGCATCCGCGACGTGCCGAGAAAGTACTCGAAGCTGTTAGCTAGTCCGTTAGCCGAGTGCATTTAAAAGTGCGGACTAGAAAATACATCAGAACTAAAGAAACTGCTTCAACTGTACAAACGAAAGTTAGACGTGATAGCTAATAGTTACTGGTGAACGCGATATAGCTATGTGTAAGTCTGACTTCTTTCTCTTTTGCAAGCAATAGCTTATGTTTGTAGCTAGATGGTTAGATTATGTCTTCCGATTACCTGTCATGAATCTGGAACCTGTCACTGAGTAAACTGCCTTTTAATCTTGTGTTCTGCAGCAAGCTACAGAAGTAGAAATGACCAGATCCTTGCTGAACTTTTGTCCAGCATACAAGAAGCCCCTTCATCAGAGCAACTAAGTAAGCAAAAGTATATTAATAATATAGTGAGTGGACTTCCAGAAGGCTCAGACTCAATTGTGGTAATATGATTCTTATGTATGCACTTCAGGCATAGACTGAAGAATGACTGCCAAGATTATAAAGATGGCAAGAAAAGATCTGCTGGCCTGGACAGAGTCTGGGCTTTCAAATATACCTATATACCACTTACTATACATTACCTGCTATTCACCTGCAATGGGCGCAGCACTGAATACATACATTAATTGTACCTTCAGGTATTGATGCTCTGCCCTTCCTGTACCGAGTCCTCCACCAGCTAGCCTCTCGCTGGAACTCTCTCTCCCTACAACTGAGTGTCAGTGGCCAGGATGAGATCCAACGCAATGCCCGCAGTGCCGACATTTGTCTGGCAGTGAGTCTGGTGGAGTGGCTACAGAGTGGCCAGGCCACCTGGAAGGCTCTGGTGGAGGCTGTCTTCAGACCTGCTGGTGGGGGACACCAGGTCCTGGCCAGAGACATCGCCAAGAACTATAATGGTAAAGTTGTGCTTGACGATATCAAGTGTTGTGATACTTCTTCACCCAGTTACTCTTTGCCTTGATGTAGCTATTAGCTACTTAAAGCCCTGCTTTTCTAGTTTAAGTTGTACACATTTCCTGTACTTTGCTATTCCAGGTTACTAGGTGAAACATAATTAAGAGAGAGACCACCTATCTCGCATGACACTTTAGAAATGCTTTGTAAGGGGGTTGAGTTCATTGTTCGTTTTTACTTCTACTTCAATAGGTCTCTGTCAGTTCAGACCAAACAGCTTTGCTGCAACTGTCCAGCCCATGGAGTTAGGTAAGACATACCTCATCCGTACAGTCTGCTTTGTGTATGATTTAGTGTTTCCTTAATAACAGAGGCATTATTAGGTATGTGTACCCAGGAGATCCACAGATCTTATCCATAATACTAGGCATGTCCTTGAAAAACATGGATCAATAGTTTTGTCTCTAATGCAGTGTCATCAGAAGAGTCGGTGAGACTCATACAGAAGATGCTCAACAACTCTGTGGCTGCTCGCTGGTACCAGATGGGTGTGGTAATGGGGGTGCCCCCCTCTGATCTGGAGATAATCAGAGAGAGTCCCGAGTACCACGGGGCAGGGGAGAGAGAAGCTGGCATGTTGAAGGCCTGGCTGGAGAGAGGCTCTCTGCCCAGGACCTGGCAGGTATGGTGTGTGTTTGTGAACATCCAGTAATGTGGTTTATCTGCAATAGCCTTTGAGTCAGAATTGGGTGGTCTCTCCAATTAGCGTTGTTGTGTTGAAAAGTATGCCAAACTTTGAAATTAACCACAAAAGCAGTGATTCTCGCATAATATGGTTGCCACATACTGTCAAAGGGGAACTTCATGTGTGGGTGACTGAAAAGAGATGGATTTGACACGCCTACACCAAAGAGAGAAAGTGAAACTAGAATACTTCCCATACCTCGCTTTCCTTCACAAACAAGTAGCCACATGGGATTTTCATGTATCCATGTTTGTTTGCAGTTTCATCATTTTTTACATTTCAACATCATGTTTGTTTAGGTGTTGGTGGATGCAGTAGAGAACAGAGCCGGTGGCAATCACAAAGTCCTGGCAAAGAAGATTGCAAACTCTCCCCTGGGTAAGTTTTAACACATAGCGGCTTATGATAATTATACTGTAAATCAGGTAGCTTTGCATGCTACTACACAATGACATGCGTGTATAGTGCTGTGACACTGCACCTCTCACCACAAACTTAACAATCCACTGATGTTAATGTGTAACTAATGTCTCTTTTACTCTCTACTTACAGACTCTTTCCAGGTGGCACCAAGTTCACCACAAGCTACAAACAGTGCAGGCGCCAGTAAGTTGTACCAGCATGTTACTAGTTACATGTGGTCATGGAAAGCCAATTACCTAAAGGCTATGTTTTAATCCCTCTGTGTGTTGTTACTTTGTTAGGTCAACCTGCTCTGAAGCCGGCATCAACAAGAACATTAGGTATGTTTGTTAATGATTAACACTCAATGAGTTTGGTGTCTACACATCAGAGCTGTGTCATAGATTACTAAGTTCTGTATTCCTCCAGACTCCACCCCCAGTCTGAGAGACCTGTCAGTGTTCAAGGCCAGATCAGGAGAGAAGATTGAGATCATCAAGTCCCTGGCCCCAGAGTGGAAATCATTTGGTGTCCACCTCAACTTTGACGACATGGGGTCCCAGCTGTCACTCATTGAGGCTCAGCACGGCCAGAGTAACCCACAGAGCTGCTGCCGGGACATGATTATCCACTGGCTGCTGGGGAATGGGGAGGGACCCACCACCTGGAGAACTCTGCTGGCCCTGCTGGAGGATGGAGAGAGGGCCTACCTCGCTGACAGGATCAGGAGAGAACTAACTGACCCTGCATATGAACCAACGTTACACAAAGCTCCATAGATGTTTGTAGCTATAGCTAATTGTCACTCACACCTCTTTCAATATTATTACTAAAACAAAGTTATCCAAACCAGCAATTAATATTCTGACTCTTCAAGATTGTTGTTCAACACTTTGTGCTGCTGCAGCAAGTTTGTTTTAAGTTTAGCAAACGAGTGAAAATAATATCCTTAATTTGTAGAGGATTCTAGGAGGAGAGGAAGAGGAAGGATGTTAGGTCTCTTCCTGCTACAAAGATTCAATATTGCACAATGTGAATATTCCAGCTAGTTATGGTGCATGTATAGCTACAAGGAATGTCCTATATATTGCATACTATAAGATGGAAGGAAGTTATTACATTACATCATCAGGAATGATATGGCACTAGTTAGCTCATGACACACCAACACAGAGCTCTATGGCTGCCTGCTTCATGCCAAGACACTATTAGCTTCACTGGGTGGTGGTCCCCAGGCAATCAACCTGGAACGAGGCTGTCTTCAGACCTGCTGGTGGGGGACACCAGCAGGTCCTGGCCAGAGACATCGCCAGGAACTATTATAGGAGTTACACGCATCAACCTACAAACTAGAGTTACACATTATGATATCATCATGGTTAAATGAAGGGAAGTTGCCCATGTGTTATGTGTCCATTTGGGAGCGGATTTACACACAACAGAGCGAAAGTAGGGGGGCTGTTAATCTGGGATGTGGCAACTGTTTGTCTAAGGGATATCCCCAACAGCTATTTTTCTCGGAAAATTGACAATACTCAGTTGTAGCTTCTCAATCATTGGTAGCTACCATCAGGTCTCTATCCTTGTGTTAGGTGTAGGCTTTACCTCTCTTTCTCGGAAATATAAAGTGTTGCTTGGAGGATAGGGAGAGAACTGCTGGCTCATTAGCACTTCACTTGGCTTATATATTATAATCAATCTCTATTGCCTAGAATAATACATATTCTGACTTCACGTAACTAGCTACAGTTCTTCTCTAGACTGCATTTCCGCTTATTTAAAAAAGGTGTGCTGACACCCAACACTGATTGCCAACTCCTGAAGCATTCTGAACAGGATAATGAAAATGGAATTTGCGATCACGCACTTTTCCGCAGCAAAATTTTGTCTGAATAGAGAATGAACAGTCCAAGGTGCAAATATACAGCAACCTGCTGTAAATGTGTGGGGGGGTGCCCATCTCTGCTGTGGGTAGGCCCCACCCTCCCTCTTGGGTAGTAATGATCTGTTTTTTCTTTAATGTGAATGGCATGCAGGCTTCAGTGTTCCTTCAGAAGTCATTTCTTCTACCTTCTCTACTTTTAGTGAAAGTAAGCTCTTTTCCATTTGGTTTCTTGTTACATTCCTCCCCTCTCCAGTCAAACAGCCTGTACCAGTTGTATTGCCAGATTTTAAGAAGGCTGTCAGCAGAAGTAATGTAGCGATACTATAGTTCATGCCCGGTATTGATAGGTTAACTATCTGTACTGCAGGCGATAAGATCTTCATCACAAGTCTGTCAAGGTTCCCAACACCATTTGGGACCATCAACATACTCCAGAGGGTGGGGCCAGACTACAAGCCACTCTTGGGGAACATTCTACTGAGGAGTGAGGATGGACAGAGGATCAGAACTCTGGAGATGACTCACTCCCACAATGTCGATGGAGTCGTGTACGACATGTTCCAGAAGTGGATCACAGAGGATGAGGACTGTACCTGGGGAGCACTAGTTCTCCATCTCCAACATGCCAGTCTGGGAACTCTAGCCAGAGACATACAATCTGCTCTCATTTGAATCTGGTTTCAGGGTGGGGCATTATTTCTCATGCACGAAAGTGGTGTACTTCGTGGAATATTTCATCACCCAACATTTATAGTAGTAATACCATGCACACCCATGCCTTTACAACAGAATAAGGCACCAACACAAAATTTGGTGGCTAGATATTACTGGAGATCAAGTCCCTGGCCCCACCGAGTGGAAGTCATTTGGTGTCCACCTCAACTTTGACGACATGGGGTCCCAGCTGTCACTCATTGAGGCTCAGCACGGCCAGAGTAACCCACAGAGCTGCTGCCGGGACATGATGATCCACTGGCTGCTGGGGAATAGGGAGGGGCCCACCACCTTGTCTGTTACCACATTTTCTTCCACCACGTGCAAATAATCGGCCAAAGCGCAATAGTAGTGAGTTCAGTGCTACACTGGCTTGATTTAAGAAGGCGTGGTGGGAGGGTCTACCTCGCTGACAGGATCAGGAGGGCTAACTGATCGACACCACATACGAACCATCACTACACAAAGTCCCATAGATCAGATGTGTTACACTCACACACTCTTTCAATGTGCCAATAATGCAGTGGGGAAAATCTCTGCAATGGGTAACACTATTATCCATAATAACCATAGACAGAAATTTAAGCTCTGTGTAGTTTTCAGTATCAAGCAGCTGGCTGAAAATTAATTGATTCTTGTACGACAGAGCTGATGAGAGCCCACTACAATGTTGAGTGTTCAACTCTTCGTGCTGCACAAGAGCACCATTTCGTTCCACAACTGAGTGCACAACAGTATCCAGTATCTGTATGTAGTGGAAAGTTCCAGAATTTAGGATGATTCAGTATTGGATTTCCTGAATATTGTAGGTGCTCATGTCCTACATACACTACAGTACACATATAGGTGCACTAAGTCAATCTCTACCTTTTATGGTAGCTATGAATGTCTTTAGAAAATTCCAGAATACCCATTCACTATACACTCAGCAAGGCTAAACTTTGCATGTGTGCCGAACTGTGCTGCCCTTTCAATACAGGAGCTCTATGCTCCGTGTTAGCTAGTGGGTGCAGTAGAAAACACAGCTGGTTGCAATCATAAAGTCATAGCAAAGGATATTAGGAAATGTTTTTAGCCACAATAATAGCTAGCACATTGTCTATAGCTAAATGCAGATATTTGGGTGTTGTTGAAATCATGTTGCATTACTCTAACAATCGGCATAACTCTGATCTGTACTAAACTTAGGAGGATATTATAAAACAGTCACCTGTATATCCAGAGTAATTTGGTCTGCAAAAATCTATTAGCAGAACCTCATTATCATAGTAAGCAAGGCAAAAAAGCAGGGATGCCGTGTTGAGAGCATGATACACAGATTACTTATTACCCTGTCAATTTCTCCATTCATGCACACTGCTATGGGGGCACCAGTGCACTGTTGGTTTAACGTCAATGATATATAGGCATTTCCTCTAACATTTCCATATAAAGAGCTGTGACCTACAACTGGAATGTCTCCAGATCAACAGTGGGTGGGTTCATGACGTAGTTTGACAGCACTGCACGCGCCGAGGCCGTCACCTCTGTGCGTGCATCGTCATTGCAACGCTTCTGGCGCACCTTATGGGCGTGCAGCAATGACGTACAACGTGTCTTCTCGTGCTCAGGCGCATGATCGTCGAGAATGATCGATGTTGGCCGGCCTGGTGTATTTAACTGAAGTTCTAAAGACCTAAAGAAATTGCTACAACTTACGTGTGAGTTGGACTGTGGTGAACGTGACTGACATGTGTAAGTTAGTCTTTGACTCCTCTCTCTCTCCAGCCAATAGCAATAGCTAGCTAATGTTCTGGACGGTTTAATGCTTTTAGCTTCTCATAATCTGTCTTGAATAAGATTGTCAAGCTGCCTATTATTTCTTGTGTTCTGCAGCAAGCTACAGAAGTAGAAACCAGCAAATCCTTGCTGAACTTTTGTCCAGCATACAAGAAACCCCTTCAGAGCAACTCAGTAAGCATAAAAGTTTATGTAATAGTGAGTGGACTCCAGAAGGCTCAGACTCAATTGTGGTAAAAAATTATGTGATTTGTATAATGAATTTCAGATTGAGACTAAAGAATGGCTGTCAAGATTATGAAGATGGCAAGAAAAAAATCTGCTGGCCTGCACAGAGTCTGGGCTTTCTGAAATAATATATACCTATATACCACTTACTATATTTGTTGTTCACCTGCATGGAACGCATCACTTAATACATTTGACTACAGGTGTTGATGTTCTGCCTTTCCTGTACCGAGTCCTCCACCAGCTAGCCTCTCGCTGGAACTCTCTCTCCCTACAACTGAGTGTCAGTGGCCAGGATGAGATCCAACGCAATGCCCGCAGTGCCGACATTTGTCTGGCAGTGAGTCTGGTGGAGTGGCTACAGAGTGGCCAGGCCACCTGGAAGGCTCTGGTGGAGGCTGTCTTCAGACCTGCTGGTGGGGGGACACCAAGTCCTGGCCAGAGACATCGCCAAGAACCATAAGGGTAAGTCTGTGCTTGACGATACCAAGTGTTGTGATACTTCTTCATCCAGTTACTCTTTGTCTTGATGTAGCTATTAGCTACTTAGCCCTGCTTTTCTAGTTTATGGTTGTACACATTTCCTGTACTTTGCTATGCCAGGTTACTAGGTGAAAAACATCATTAAGAGAGAGAGACCACCTATCTAGCATAACACTTTAGAAATGCTTTGCAAGGGGGTTGAGTTCATTATTCGTTTTTACTTCTACTTCAATAGGTCTCTGTCAGTTCAGACCAAACAGCTTTGCTGCAACTGTCCAGCCCATGGAGTTAGGTAAGACACGCCTCATCCATACAGTCTGCTTTATGTATTATTTAGTGTTTCCAGAGGCATTACTAGGTATGTGTACCCAGTTGCATGATATCCACCGACCTTCTCCATAATACTAGGCATGTCCTTAAAACATAGATCAATAGTATTGTCTATAAATTATGCAGTGTCATCAGAAGAGTCAGTGAGACTGATGCAGAAGATGGTCAACAACTCTGTGGCTGCTCGCTGGTACCAGATGGGTGTGGTAATGGGGGTGCCCCCCTCTGATCTGGAGATAATCAGAGAGAGTCCCGAGTACCACGGGGCAGGGGAGAGAGAAGCTGGCATGTTGAAGGCCTGGCTGGAGAGAGGCTCTCTGCCTAAGACCTGGCAGTTGCGTGTGTTTGAACATCAAATAATGTGGCTTCTCTTGAGTAAGCAATAACCTTTGAGTCAGAATTGTCTCTCTCCAATTAGCGTTATATTGTTGTGTATAGCCAAGTTTGTTGAACATTAGCTACCAAAAGCAGCAATTCTCACATGATTATGGTTGTCCATCTAAGCACATGCTGCCAAAAGGGGAAGATCATGTGTGGGTCACTGAATGTAGGTTGATTTGATATACCTACACCACACACTCTTGTGGTATTATAAGACGCAGTCTTACGGTATTGTAAGAGAGAAAGTGAAACTAGAGGACTTCCCATACCTTTCGCTTTCCTTCACAAAACAAGTTGCTACATGGGAATTTTCATGTATCCATGTTTCATCTTTGCAGTTTCATCATTTTTTACATTTCAACGTCATGTTTGTGTAGGTGTTGGTGGATGCAGTAGAGGACAGAGCTGGTGGCAATCATAAAGTCCTGGCAAAGAAGATTGCAAACTCTCCCCTGGGTAAGTGTGAACACATAGCGGCAATTATACTGTGTGCACATAAAAGCAGGTATATAGCTTTGCATGGCTACTACACTACAACATGCATGTATAGTGTTGCACCGCTTACCACAAACTTAACAATCCATAGTGATGTTAATGTGTATTTTTGCTCTCTACTTACAGACTCTTTCCAGGTGGCACCCAGTTCACCACAAGCTACAAACAGCGCTAGCGCCAGTAAGTTGATAACACCAGCATGTGACCAGTTATATGTATGTGGTCATGGAAAGTCAATTACCTAAAGGCTACATTTTAATCCCTCTGTGTGTTGTTACTTTCTTAGGTCAACCTGCTCTGAAGCCTGTATCAACAAGAACATTAGGTATTTTAATTGGGACCCAATGAGTTTCATATCTGCATAATCATTGCTGTTTTGCTCTAGACTCCACCCCCAGTCCGAGAGACCTGTCAGTGTTCAAGACCAGATCAGGAGAGAAGATTGAGATCATGCCAGTCACTGGGCCCCAGACTGGAAGTCATTTTGGGTCCACTCAAACTTTGAGACATGGGGGTCCCAGCTGTGGCACAATTGAGGCTCAGCACGGCCGAGTTACACCCACAGAGCTGCTGCCGGGACATGATGATCCACTGGGCTGCTTGGGGAATGGGATGGGCCCACCTGGAGAACTCTGCTGGCCCTGCTGAGGATGGTGGAGGGCCTACCTCGATGACAGGATCAGGGGAGAGAAAGAGGAGAATAAGACACTGCATATGAACCAACAGCATTACCACAACGCCTCCATAGATGTTTGTATAGCTACTTGTCAATCACCCCATGTTCATATTAATGCAGTGGGCAAATAAACCCGATCATCATGATGATTTCAATTTTGATGAAATTACTGGTTCATCAGTGAAGACGGAAAAGTGTGAGTAAAAGAGTAAGCCGTGTGGTGATGCGAGTGGAGAGGGACCAGGCCCCGGGCCTTCCTTCGTCGGACCTTCCAGTCTCTGTTAAACATGGGAATCAGTGGGCTACATAATAAGCAAATGAGTGACATGTCACTGCCCACGTTTACAAGGACGAGAGCTCAAAGTGATCCAAACTAGCAATATTCGGACTTTTCAAGATTTTTGCTTGACATTCGTGCTGCGCAGCAAGCTAGAGTAATTCAGAAACGGTTAAAACTAATATCCTTGGTAGCTAATTATACGGTATAGTGATGTCTGAGAGTAGAGGAAAGAGTTAAGGATATCGATGTTAGGTCTCTGGCAGTTACTTATTTAACTGGGAAACATTCCGGTAGTTATTGTGCAGGTGTACAACGAATGTCCTGTGGCAGCACGACCAGCCCTTAGCGCCGTGGTAACACTCATCTCTGTCAGTAGGACTCTGGCTAAGTCTCAAATAATATTATTAATTTTCCACGTGCATACACTTTTATAGGAACGACAAGGTAAGATTACGTAATGAGTAACAAGTAATCTACATATAGTGTGCGGGGTGCTACAGTCCTATGGCAACCCTACAGACCCACACCCTTGGAATTTGGCACAAGTATTCTAGGTGGGAAACTATAATGAAGTGCAGTCAAGGTAGCAATATGGATATTGAAAATTCTGAATCATCAAGTCCCTGGCCCTAGACCGGAAGTCATTTGGTGTCCACCGCTCAATTTTGAGACGACATGTGCGGGTCCCAGCTATCACTCATTAGGCTCCGCAGCGGCCAGAGTACCCCAGAGCTGCTCCGGGACATGGTGTATCTACGTGCTGCTGGGGAATATTGGTGGGCCCACCACCTTTTCTTTTAGCACATTTCTGCCAACCGAATTCGCAAATCATATCGTCCAAAGCGCAGTAGTATTGAGTTTCAAGCAGAGTGCTACACTGGCTTTGATTAAGAAGGCGTTCCGTTCCTTTGGGAGGGTCTACCTCGCTGCCAGATCAGGAGGGCTAACTGACTGATCGACACCACATACGAACCATCCTACCAAAGTCCCATAGACTCAGATTGTTCCAGCAACTCACCAGCACTCTTTTGCGGCTGCTTTTGCACCATATTCATTATTACATCTCTCCTTGTCATTTTTTCCATCTCTTGCTTTTTTTCCCCACGTACTTACTCCATACTCCCCCTATCCCGATAACTTTTAACCTCTCTTTTTCTTTTTCAGTCTCTCGTCCTCATTTCTTCCCCGTATTGCTTGATTCTTGTACGACAGAGCTTATGAGAGCCCACTAATGTTTGAGTGTTTCAACTCTTTCGTTCTGCAACAGATCAACCATTTCGGTTTCCAGCTGATTGCACAACAGTATCGCAGTATCTGTATTAGTGGGAAAGTTCCCAGCAGACAAAGAATTTAGGATATTCTTATTGGATTTCCTGAATATTCTTGGTGCACATGTCTCACATATACATGTCCTAATTGCATCATAAGACCCACACCATTGGAGGGAAGTTATTACGTTATCATCATCAATGAACATCAAATCAAGCACATTCTCTCAAGCAAAGGTTTCATCTGCAGGTTGGTAGGTATGCAAACATTAGATTTCCTGAACATTCTAGGCGCTACATATTGAGTTTTCTCAATACACTCTCCATTATTCGACGCGCGAGGCAACTAACGCGGATATGCGTACGTACGTGTCGTCAATTAGTCACCGGGGGCTTATGAAAGTCAATTTTCACCAAAAGGAAGTGTAAGTTCAAGTCCATCTTCCGCCGTTCGCGCTAGTCTGGCTTGCGTGCGCATTCCTAGTACAAATGCAGTACACAAGGAGGTGGCACTAAGAGGTCAATCTCACCTTTTATGGTACTATGGAATATCTTTAGAATGTCCAGAATTCCATTCAATATGACACTACTCCAGCAGGCTAAACTTTGCTCCTGCGCCGGACTTGTGTATTTATTGCTGCCCTTTCAATACAGAATCTCATGCTCCGTGTTAGCTAGTGGGTGATAGGGGGGCTGTTAATCTGGGATGTGGCAACTGTTTGTCTAAGGATATCCCTATATAACAAGTGGAAAAATCATTTCTTCTACTCCTCAAACGCACACAGTACTGTCAAAACACTCTCCTTTCTGCATAAGGATCCACACACACATGTGATCTCGACTAGTGTATTAGCTATATTACTCTAACAATCGGCATAAGTCTGATCTGTACTAATCTTAGGAGGATATATAAAAACAGTCATACTAGTAACCTGTATAGCTATATATCCAGAGATATTGGTTTGCAAAAACTCTTAGCAGAACCTCATTATCATAGTATATAAGTAAGGCAAAAAAGCAGGGATGCCGCTGTTGAGAGCACGATACACAGATTACCTATTACCCTGTCAATTTCTCCATTCATGCACACTGCTATGGGGGCACCAGTATAGTGCACTATTGGTTTAACGGCAATGATAGGCATTTCCTCTAACCTTTCCATATAAAGAGCTGTGACCTACTGGAATGTCTCCAGATCAACAGTGCGTGGGTTCATGACGTAGGTTAGCACGCCTGCACACGGCGAGGCCGTCACCTCTGTGCGTGCCGTCCATCGTCATTGCAACGCGCCGTAGTTCTGCTGACGCACCTTATGTAAGCGCATGACGCATGACGTAACAACGTGTCTTCCCATGCTCAGGTGCATGATCGTCGAGAATGATGTTGGCCGGCCTGGTGTATTTAAAAGTGCCTGGAACTCATTAGACACTAAAAATTGCTACAACTTACGTGCAAGAGAGTTGGACTGTGGTGAACGTGACATGTGTAAGTTAGTCTTTGACTCTTATTTCTCTCCAGCCAATAGTTAATGTTCTGGACGGTTTAGTGCTTTTTAGCTTCTCTTCAATAAGATTGTGAAGCTGCCTATTATTTCTTGTGTTCTGCAGCAAGCTACAGAAGTAGAAACGAGCAAATCCTTGCTGAACTTTTGTCCAGCATACAAGAAGCCCCTTCAGAGCAACTAAGTAAGCATAAAACTTTATGTATAGTGAGTGGACTCCAGAAGGCTCAGACTCAATTGTAGTAATAAATTATGTGATTTGTATATGAATTTCAGACTGAGACTGAAGAATGAAAGTCAAGATTATGAGGATGGTAAGATGCACAGAGTCTGGGCTTTCTGAAATTATATATACCTATATACCACTTACTATATTATACTTGCTGTTCACCTGCACGGAACGCAGCACTTAATACATTTGATCTTTAGGTGTTGATGCTCTGCCCTTCCTGTACCGAGTGCTCCACCAGCTAGCCTCTCGCTGGAACTCTCTCTCCCTACAACTGAGTGTCAGTGGCCAGGATGAGATCCAACGCAATGCCCGCAGTGCCGACATTTGTCTGGCAGTGAGTCTGGTGGAGTGGCTACAGAGTGGCCAGGCCACCTGGAAGGCTCTGGTGGAGGCTGTCTTCAGACCTGCTGGTGGGGGACACCAGGTCCTGGCCAGAGACATCGCCAAGAAATATAAGGGTAAGTCTGTGCTTGACGATACCAAGTGTTGTGATCAGTTACTCTTTGCCTTGATGTAGCTATTAGCTACTTAAAGCCCTGCTTTTCTAGTTTATGGTTGTACACATTTCCTGTACTTTGCTATGCCAGGTTACTATATAGGTGAATCATCATTAAGAGAGAGACCACCTATCTCGCATGACACTCTAGAAATGCTTTGCAAGGGGGTTGATTTTTTGTTTTACTTCTACTTCAATAGGTCTCTGTCAGTTCAGACCAAACAGCTTTGCTGCAACTGTCCAGCCCATGGAGTTAGGTAAGACATTCCTCATCCGTACAGTCTGTTTTATGTATGTTTCCTAAATAACAGAGTCATTATTAGGTATGTGTACCCAGTTGCATGAGATCCACAGATCTTCTCCATAATACTAGGCATGTCCTTGAAAAACATGGATCAATAGTTTTGTCTCTAATGCAGTGTCATCAGAAGAGTCGGTGAGACTCATACAGAAGATGCTCAACAACTCTGTGGCTGCTCGCTGGTACCAGATGGGGGGTAGTAATGGGGGTGCCCCCTCTGATCTGGAGATAATCAGAGGAGAGTCCCGAGTACCACGGGGCAGGGGAGAGAGAAGCTGGCATGTTGAAGGCCTGGCTGGAGAGAGGCTCTCTGCCCAGGACATGGCAGGTATGGTGTGTGTGTGAACATCCAGTAATGTGGTTTATCTTGAGCAAACAATAACCTTTTGGTCAGGATTGGGTCTCTCCAAATAGCGTTGTTGTTGTGTTGAAAGTATGCCAAACTTTTGAAAATAAACTACCAAAAGCAGTCATTCTCACATACTGTCAAAGGGAAAGTTCATGTGTGGTGACTGAAATGAGATGGATTTGACACGCCTACACAACACACTCTCATGGTATATAAGACACAGTCTTACGGTATTATAAGAGAGAAAGTGAAACTAGAAGACTCCAATACGCTTTCGCTTTCCTTCACAAACAAGTAGCCACGTGGGAATTTTCATGTAGATACCTATGTTTCATGCTTTGCAGTTCATCTGGCCCTGCTGGAGGATGGAGAGAGGGCCTACCTCGCTGACAGGATCAGGAGAGAACTAACGTTAGCTACAAGGAATGTCCTATATATTGCATCATAAGACCAACACCATTGGAAGGAAGTTAATACGTACATCATCAGGAATGACATGGCACAAGCTAAACTCACCGTAAACAACACTATTGGGGAAACTATAATAAAGTGCATGCAGTCAAGAATAGCAATAGGGAGTCTGAAATTCATTCCAGCAGACATTCCAGCAAAGTTAAGTCAACTGATATTATGATATAATGCTAACATGTTACCTCATGACACCCCCACACAGAGCTACTATGGCTTGCCCTGGTTCATGCCAAGACACTATTAGCTCACTCTGTGTTCCCCAGGCAACAACCTGGAACGAGGCTGTCTTCAGACATGCTGGTGGGGGACACCAGCAGGTCCTGGCTAGAGACATCGCCAGGAACACTATAGGAGTATGCATCAACCTACAAACTGGAGTTACACATTTATAATGATATCATCATGGT